TTTGATGTAATTTGCTACAATTTCTCAGGTGGAATGTGAGAACAAAGACATAGTGTGATTGGTTTGAATGCACCGAATAAGACTCTGAAGCTTTTCTCTTATGAACTGCAGGAGCGGAAAGAGAGACTCCCTTCATAATGAACTTTGCTGTGATTCTTCTATTAACATCAAGCTGCTTCGCCTGGACTTCAGCTATCTATACCTCCAACAGAGAAGGTACAGAAAAGATGATGAATGAGGTTTTGGTCAACTCAGGAATTTTGTTTCTTTCTGAAACTGACAATATGACAAGAACACCCACGTAACGCTGTGATTGGCCAGGTGTGTGGAGGAGAAAACATAGTGTTTGAAAGGCCGCACTCCAACTAGTACTGGTGTGAGCCGGGTGGATGTTGTTTCCACTCCACATTTGGCCATGTGTTACAGCTTAGAAAATAAATGAGCTTAAACCCAAAAGCTCAAGTCACAGGCAAGCAGAATAACACTGAAAAGATCCACACTAGACAATGTGTACATACTGGGGATGGGCAGGTATATATACTGAGAGACTAATCAGGGAGATGGGGAGCAGGTGAGTGAGTGGGCGGAGCTGAGGGGAAAGGTTTTACTGCAGGGCATGAAGGGAGTGGCTAGATCTGTACTGACAGGGAGAGTTTAGTATGAATCAGAAGATTGTCAGTTCGATCCCCGGTCCAGTCCATGTTGGTGACAAATTGCTCTCGAAGGCTGTGTCTCCGGTGTATGAATGGGTGAGAATGAGTAGTCCTGATGGGCAGGTGACTATGGGCCCTGTAGCCATCAGTGTATGAATGGGTAAATGACATGTAGTGTAAAAGTGCTTTGATTGGTCGGAACATTCGAAAGAACACCAAAGCGGTATACTAATACAAGTCCATTTACCATCCATTTAAAATTGTCACAATAGGTTCATATTCTTTCTGTACAAGGCTCTTAATTCATACATGCACTAGTGTTCATCACAAACACACTGAATACAAGACGAGGGAGCCAGAAGTGCAAAAGTGCTGACTCATTTCTGGGTTTTAGGACTCATTCCTCCTGCACTCTATTGACACCTCCTGGATCCTGTTTCACATGCAGGACCCAGGAAGCTGAAGTACCTCCTTGAGCCACTCATGTACGCTGATGTCGTCGCCCGAAGGGGAGAAAACGCCACCCTTCCGTGCATCCTGAGAATCAGACCGAGCCATTACAAAGTGAAATGGACAAAGCTGGAGCCGGAACACGTGGGTCAGGAGAACATTATCATGATATCAAATGCGCACGCCTTCAAGCCATACGGCCATCTTGGCCCGCGGGCTTCCCTCCTGAAGGCTCACACCATGGACGCCTCCCTGCGGCTCCGTGGTCTCGAGCTGGAAGATGGCGGCATGTATCGCTGCGAGCTTGTCAATGGCATCGAGGATGAGAGTGTTGTCATTGCGTTGAGGATTGAAGGTAATTCACAATATTCCTGCCCAGTATCATGGCAGTTCATCAATTAGACACGAAATGCAATGTATTGATTTTGTGTACATGGAAACAAATTGTTAGTTGTTTTCAGTGTTGCTTCGGATGAAAATAATGCCAATGGAAAGTCAATTAGGAGCCTTATTGGTGGTGGAGACACCAATTAAATGCATCCATGTGACAAAGCAACAGTCAGAGCAAACGGGACATTCAACCAGAAGACCGGTGGTCGACACCGCATTGAGATTTTGTGGTAGTGGTTTTGTTGCCTAAACCTAACTGTTGGTGGTTTCGTTTCCTAAACCTAACCGTTGGTGGTTTTGTTTCCTAAACCTAACTGCTGGTGGTTTTGTTTCCTAAACCTAACTGTTGGTGGTTTTGTTTCCTAAACCTAACCGTTGGTGGTTTTGTTGCCTAAACCTAACCGTTGGTGGTT